TCACTATCATAATCATAATAATAACAACAATCATAACAATAAAAGAAGAAGAAAAAGTACTTCAATAATAACAATCATCATCGTATTGATGATAGTGATGACGACGATGATGATGATGATGACGATGACGAAGACGTTGACGACCACAACAAGGAGGACGATGATGATGATAGTGGTGATGATGATAAAGAAAATACAAAACAACAATAGCTGCAACGCAAGAATAGCAAAGCTTATGTTAACACGAATACGAATATTCATACTAATGAAAACCGCAGAACATGTTCATACATGGTACAGTTATCCTGTCTTGTACTGATATTACCAACGAGAGAAAGAACAAGAAGACCCAACCCGAGAAAGAAGTGGAAGCCAATTGCAGCTTTCTGCCGAGGCACAGCGCGAAGGGCCCGGTCCAGCCCACGGCGCGCACTGCGGAGGTGTGTGCGCCATCGACTCTTCGGGTCATCTGCAGCGTGCAGCTAGGTTCCGAAGATAAAGCGAAGTCCAGGCGGCACAGGGCGACACGATGATCGTCTCCGGCGCTGAGGACCAGGAGCCGTACTTCGGAGCCTTCGGATGGAAGCACCTGGAGGGCCAAGTCGTTGAGACCCGCATCGTGGAGCTGCGTTTGAAGAAGCGGCTCGGTGTCTCGGGGCTCCCGGCGAAGGCCTGGAACTGTGAGGCTGCAGGCCGCCAGCTTCCCATCGGCACTTCCCAGCACAACCCCTGCGAAGCCCTGCTCCAGGAAGCACTCGGCACATAAGGCAGTGGTGTTGGCGGCGCGCAGCCGCTGCAGAAAGTCTGCCTAGCATTGAAGGCTGCTACGATTTCCCGAAACCTCAAGAGCACCGAGACCCCAGACAGCAGGTGCAAAAGATGTGCGCAGCGGTGCTCGCACCTCGAGGGAAGTTCCGGCACCCCACCACAAGTGCCACGTGCGGAGTATTCCGCTGGAGGAGGCGGCACAGGCCAGAACGGAGGCCTCTCGAATAGCTGCCATTCATGATGCAGATGATAGATACATAGACAGACGGAGAGATACCGCGAGTGCACAGGGTGGATGGAGGAAATGTAGCACCTAGATGATTTTCTCGATGTCACCTATCAGCAGGTCTGCGCAACCGATTCTTTAAGATTGACGATGATCTAACTTGAGGGTGGTGCAACACGGCCCTTCCCGCGGAAGAAATTAAAGCGGGTGCGGGCTATTCTCGCGTACCTGGTAAAGCAATGTAAGAGGTCCTCCTCCACAACTCCTACCAGTCCTTGTCAACACAACCGCGCATCCCTACACACAAACAACAGAGTGAGAGTGGGAGAGATCTTGAAACCCTAAACCCTAACCCCCTAAACCCTGAACCCTAAACCCACCTCCAGGTTGATGCAGCTTAGGGCCATCACTCGCTCCTCCAGCCGCAGAGAGGCCTCTCAGTGCTGCAACAGGCTTCAAGGCTTCGGGACGTAAAGGGAAGCGAGGCTTCTGGTCTCGTTTTGGGAGGTTTTGAGTTTTTTTGAAGCACCTATCTTCCGATCTGGCGCAGCGTCTCGAAAATCCCCATAGGGAAGGTGCTTGGACCGGGACTTTTCATCCCGTCCGGGTTTAGGGTTGAGGGGATGCTTTGGGGCTTAGGGTTTTGAGGATTTCGGGTTTGGGGATCGAGGGTTCAGGGCTTAGGGTTTGGGCCTTAGGGTCCCCCCGTTTAGGGTTTGGGGTCTTGTGGTTATGGTTAGCCTTATTTGGTTAGGGCTTGTAGCTTGAAGCGTGCAAGATTCAGACCATGAAGCCTTCCGACCAAGAGGAACCCATGGTGCAAAAAAAGCAGGATGTAACATTCCTCCCCTTTCCCTTTCAACAGGAGCTTCTTGCAACCCTCCGTAACAAAGCACCTGCCCTTGTCATCCCTATATAACCCCTGAACCATCGCAGCGAGAAGCAGCCAAACTGAGGCTGTCTAAGTCTGCTGCTCCTCCATCCTCCTCTTCGACGATGGAGCTCCCAGCCTGTGCCAAGACCCCCCCCGAAGAAGCTGCCCTGGGGGTTGGTCTAAAGCTAGTTGAGGAGCCGGGCTGCGGGAACGGATCCTAGAAGTAGTCTTGGGGATTCACAACCCGGGTGTCCTCCATCGGGGTTTTCGGAGTAGGGTCCCCTCCTAAACGACTCTCCTTCAATAACAACTTACTGTGACAGATCCATCATGACTTGCCCAGGCACCACTGCATCCTGGGCCAGCGAAGTGGACCAAACGCAGCGTAGGGAACTCACTTCCTCTAGGAGATGCGCTCGAAGGACGCCCTTGGCGCCTGAGAAGGTATAATAAGTTTCACATGACTCCATGAGACCACAGCCACACCCATAACCCTAAACCCCAAAACCCTAAACCGTGGACCCTAAACTCTAAATCGTAGACCCTAAATTCTAAACCCTAAACCCCCTAAAGTCTGGTCTGGGACCTCCAGAGAGGAGCAGTTTCGTCGCCTGGCCCTTCACCAGGAGCTCGCTGGCCGCTAAAGCGCGCACGGAGCCCGGAAAGCGGACGTTCGCCGGCTCCGGGATGAGCGCCGCGCTGCGCTCAAGGCTGGAGGGATGGAACCTCCAATGTGACATCTTACTTGTGGGTTCTAGGGGGATGGACGGGTTTGTAAGGCTCAGGATTTAGAGAAAGGATACTTTTGGGGCGCTTCGGGCTTGCAGGGTTTAGGCTGTGAGCTTTATAGGCTTTTCGCAGTAAGGGCTTGGGGGTTAGTTCTAAGGTACCATTGATACCCTGACATACATTATACTTTGCCTGTAGGGGCACCCGTAAATCCTGAACTAGGGTTTGGATTGGAACCCTCAGAAGAAGTAATCCAAAGCAGCACAAAGGGTGAGATGTTTGTTGCTTTTCGTTCATCCGAAAGCAGGGTGGCAACACTATGTGCTACTTCCCGCCGGGCGCCCCTGGTAGCATTGTAAACTTACCTTAGCAGACGCTTTTCGAGATCTACGTTGGCATAACTGATCTACTTACTGATGTGATGTTGATACCTTCGTCAGTAAGTTGAGGCTTTGCTCTAGAAGAGAAGGCTGTAGGGACTGTAACAATGTGATACTTAGAATATCCGTAGATAGGGACGACAAGGTGATACTAACCCTAAACCCTAAACCCTAAAACCCCAAAACCCTCAGCCCTAAACCCTAAGCCCTAATCCCTAAACCTTAAACCCCTAATCCCTAAACCTAAACCCAAAGCCCTAAACCCTTAAATCCTCAAACCCTGAAGCCCTAAACCCTAAAACCCCAAAACCCTAAAACCCAAAACCCTAAGCCCTAAGCCCTAATCCCTAAACCCTAAGCCCTAAACCCTAAAATCCTCAAACCCTGAAGCCCTAAACCCTAAACCCAGAGCCCTAAGCCCTAAACCCTAAAACCCAAAAACCCTAAAACCCTTATTTTGTAGCTCCCGCCTGAGGAGCCGGAGACTGGTGTCTTCGGAGGCCGTGGCCAAGAGGCCAGGTCGCTCCTAGGTTTTGGGGCTTTAGGGGTGTAGGGTTTTGGGGCTTAGGGGCTTAGGGTATTGTAGGGTTTTGGGGTTTAGGGGTTTGGGGTTCTCGTAGGTTTTTGGGGCTTAGGGTTTAGGGTATTGTAGGGTTCTGGGGTGTGGGGTTTAGGGTGTAAAATCTTGCGTTGGGGCTTTGGGCTAAGTAACAGCAACCCGCTTTAGGTCAGGGTGTAGGGCGTGATAGGGATTCTGTCTAAGGCTTTGGGGTTTGGGGTGTGGGGATGACCAGTCAGCTGCCCACAATACAACTATACAACTGGTGGGCCAGAGATACCAGTCAGAGCAGACTACGCTGCTTTGGATTCTGACTAATTCTGACTAACTCACTTGAAATGCGAGGCTCTTCAGAAGGCGGGTGAAGCCAACAGGCGCTGTGAATCTCACCTAGGTCAGCTCTTCGAAACCTCTGGAAAAAAAGATCCTCCGAAGCAGCACATAGTCTCTTGCATAGTGACCCTTAATTACAGTAACCTTTATAGTAATCCTTATATAGTAGCCTGTATAGTGTCCCCTTAAAGGGAAGCCATAAAAATGCCCCAAAGGCCTACCCAGTCACGTCCGTGCAAGGGCTGCCGCAAGCCTTTGGGGGCCATCGCGACTTCAGCTGCTGAGCTGGCTGCAACCGGCTCCGCATCCACCTGGGTGCTAGACAAGGAGCGTAAACTAAGCTAAGCTACCAGAAAAATAGGAGCAGCAATCAGAATATCAATAAGAAGAAGAATGCTAATCAATACTACAATAGCAATAATAATAATAAATAGACATAATAGGAAGAGTCTATGTGGGAAAAACTAATGGGGCTTCCGCGTTGTGGTAGCTTACATAGAACTCCTTTATTGGCCCAGCTTCCGGGGAGAAGGTGGAGTGGATTTCCAACGACTTGGATGCAGAAGAGAAGACAAATGTGTAAGAAGCCCCGTCTGCCAAAAGATCATTTGGTCTCTTGGCGCCGCCACACCGCCGTCGCCAAATCTCCAGTCCGGCCACTGCATCCCACAATACGAAGTCAGCACTCTGAAAGGCGCCGATTAGCAAGGGTGGGATGGAGACATCTGACATGCCTGAGCGCGGTATCGTTGACAGGTGTGCCAGGTGCCGCAATCCACATCCCGGTCTGTGGGATGAAAGCTGAGTCCAGACTTCTGACTCGATGCGATGGTGCACCACCGTACCATCAGCCCCTGCAGAAAGAAACTCCCTGTCCTTCTGAGAAAGAAGCTTCAAGCAAAGCACCTTTCCCTCGTGGACAGCTCGATGTGACTGGCCCCGCAAGTCAACGAGATGGAGGTTGCCATGCTCGTCCCCTAGAAGCCAGGCTGGGTCACTATCTGCGAGGAGCTCAGCACAAAGCAGGCGCTGGTTCTTGTCCCCTTTTTTCGAGGATACCAGCTTCACTTCCGCTAGCCGTGATGGCGCAGACTCTGAAGCGTCATCCAACCAAAGCTGCACGCTGCCGGCGTGATCCGCCAACAGCCCGTGCCCAGCCTGCGCCGCGAAGGCCGCACTAACCCGGCACTGCCGAAAAGCTTCTATCCACCGTCTGCGACTGTCGTGTACACCAAGTGTCAGTGCGCGACCGTCTGCGCAACCAGCCCAAACGTGCGTGGAAGCACCCAACCCCATGCAAGTAAAACATAGGCCAGGCTCCTCAAAGAGCAAAGTGCCTGTCACCTTCTCATCGTCCTCGACGTGAAGCAGCAGTCGATAAATTCTGCCAAAGTTCGTCGCGACCAGGGCCTCGATGTGCGAAAGCAGAGCCACTTCTCGGATCCAGTCCTGGCGGTGTCAGAATGCTTTGGCTTGCCTGTTCCTGTCGGTTATACACTGTTTGCATGATAGGATATAGCAAAACGAAACGGAGGCATTCGTGCTTGACACCACCTGAAGCATGTAGCTGTTCGGCGTTATTGCATTGTCTCCTCTGCTTGTGGCACGTGCCACACTCTGCTGGACGCCCCCTTGCTTTCAGCCGTGTCATCATGTCTTGAAACACCCACGTCGCAGAGTGGCCACAGCTTCACTGCTCCGTCTTCGCCCCCTGAGATGACGGCGAGGTCAGCTTGGGTGAAGCTAGCTGAAGCCCAGGTCAGTGGCTCCACCACTACCTCCAAACACCGGACGCCTCGCGTCTGGTGGCCTTGCAGTTCTCTGAGCAAGGTCCCCTCTAGGGAGAAAACCCGTACGATGGAGTCCTCAGATGCCGAGACGATGCCAAAGCTCAAAGTTCCGATGGGACAAAGCAGGGCGTCCCAAACACGGCAGCCATGTCCCCGGCAGATCGCCCCACAGCGCCAGCCACGGAAAGAAGAGCCGGAAAGACTTAGCTTGGCCTGAAGTTGGCCCACGGATCCATGGAGCAGCGGAGATCGCTCCTCCACCCACAGCCGCACCGTGCGGTCATCGGAAGCCGTGAGTAGGACCGTCGCATCCAGGAAGAGCCGGGTCCGGAAGATGGCGCCTTCATGTCCAGACAGCTGCAATGGTGCCTCCAGCTTTGCCTCATCCGGCCTCACAGTCCACAGCACCACGAAGCCATCGAAGGTTCCCCCGGCACAGAGCACGCTGCCAGCTTCCACAGCCAAGGGCAGAGCCTGCAATGAAGCCGAGTAGAGGAAGGAGACTTCCGAAGTACCGGCCAACCTCGCCTGCCTCCTCGGTCCGTCCTCTCCTAGCCGCCAGATCTCCAGAAAGACTCTTCCGTAGGCCACCAGCAGGTCTCCCAAGTGCCCGTGCCCCGGTGGCAGCCACGTTACATCCAACGGCCAGTCTGGTAGCCGCAGGATCTCACTTGAAGTCTTTAGGGCAATGGCATGCCCGGCTTCTGGTGATATGGAGACCTGAGACGGCATGGGTTTTGCCTTCCTGGCTTCTCCACTATCGGTGTAGTAGCCGTGCTTCGGTGCAACATCCCGAGTTCTGCTCCCACGTTCCCAGACGTACACTGAAAGTCGACGCCTTGAACCCTGAGCCCTAACTCAAAGCCTCACGCCCTAAGTCCTAAACCATAAACCCATAACATCCCAAGGCCCGAAAGTTCGAACGCCCTGAACCAGCATCTCCCCGTGCGATGCTTCCCGTGCCTCGCAGAGCCGCAGCGCATGAGGACCGAAGGCAGCAAGGCGTCGGGGCTCCCTCAGAGGCTTCTCTCCGAGAAAGCTTCAGGATTGAGGAGTTTACTGTTTAAGAGTTCAAAGAAAGTCCAGGGCTACTTAAGGCCGAGCTTGGCGACAAAAAGGCAAAACAGTTTCGAGGCATAGAGTCGACAACAAGGATTTTCCACTGGTTCCACAGTGCACATCTTCAATCAGCCCTTCACCTCTCAACGTGCGCCCGCAGGACTTCAGTGACTACAACCTGCAGTTAGCAAAGAGAGGGGATCCAACATGCTAACACTCCACCTCTAATCCTTAGGTCCCATGGAACCCTCCACCCCCCACCTCCGAGCAGAAGTCCCGAATACAGCCTTTAGCTTCCCACGCCCCCTCAGATAAAAAGCGACTGATCGGTCCCTTCCAAGGGACGTCCCGGGCTCCGTCGGGCAAAGGCCGTGCACGTGGGAAGTGCCCAGGAGAAAGCGGCACGAGATCTCGGAGTCGCAGGTCAGGATTCGCCGGGGGGTTTTGTGACATGACTGGAGCTGCAAGAGCCGCTACAACTGGGCTCTTGATAGGGAGATGAAGGTACCAAAATGGGGCGGTCTGTGGTAAATCAAACGGTTTCCTCAAAATGGCAACTTAAACTACTTAGTTGCTCAGTTCGTCAGCCTAAAACATGCAAACTTTCAGTTCTACAGGGGATCATCGTATCCCAAAGAGTGGAAAAAGTGTACTCGCCCAGCTGCACAGATTAGATTCCTTACAAAGACCAGATAAGTACAACCCTAGTAGAAGCGACTGGATCGGCTCGAGGGTGTTTTCTTGCTTGTGAAACTTACGGGGCTGGCCAAACACTAGGACTAAATATAGTGGCCTTCATATACAGAGTAGGGTCTTGGTGTACGCTGTACAATATTTACACAAAGGCACCGCCAACACGGTGTTGGTAATGATTTAGGCCCCTAATTGGTGCTTAAACCGTCCGTGTCCGGGGGGAGGTGCGCTTGAGGGCTGGAGGCTCACCCGGCCGACACCGCACCCACAGCTCTTGCTCCTCAGAAATTATTCTGCACTAGCCACAAACGTCACTAAGCCCTCGGGAAGACATACGAGCCCTGGCTTAGAGAAGCCCCCCACCCTCAAATGAAGATTGACCCCGCTTGCCAAGGTGCGCCGGTGTCAAGAAGCTGCGAAGCAGCGGGGCTGGGGCCTTGTCGGGCGGAAGAGAAGCGGAGACCTAGCTTTCCGAGGTGCAGGAAAGAAGGGTCGCAGCTTTAGAACCTTTGAGGTCGTCATTCTTGTCATCCTGCATGCGACCCGTTCTGATGTTCGTCATGACATGCCCAACACTGCCACCACCATCATCATCATCATCATCATCGCCGTCACTGTCGGCATCGCCATCGTCAGAGAAACTGCCCATCATACGTCTTCTATAGATCCGAAACACAGTCCAGGCAAACGACACAGCACCCCCAAACACGACTAGGAATACTGGTAACAAGAATCAGGCTCGCCATGACGGGGTGTCGGGCATGCCCTGAACCCTAAACCCTGAGCCCCAAAACCTCTAAGCCCGAAAAGAAGCTAAGCCCGAAAGCCTAGGCCCCAAGACCAGCACCGAGCCTGTTGGAGAAGCCAGCCTGGCAGGGGACTCGTCTTCATCGAGGGTGGCGTTGCTGGCTCTTCCCTCCTACAGGGTTGAGGCTTTTTGCCACTTAAATCTAGCGTCTCTGACATCATAATGTGGAAACAAGCACCCTGACTTCTAGAAGGAATACACAGCCCAGAACTCCCCCTGCTGGTGCAATCCCAGATTCTTTGCTGGAGCATGAGAAATTAAAGCGCCAGGGGCATGTATGAGCCGACTTCATTGCAGGTCCAATGCAGGGACGCCTAAACTTTAAGCCCTTGGCCCCAAACCCTCAACCCTAGACCCAAATCCCCTCAAAGCATGCAGGCCGGACGCATGGAGGTCGGCCCCTTCGTCGCTAGCTTTAGGGTTTGAGGGTGTAGGGGTTTAGGGTAGGAGGGTTTAGGGTTTATATAGTGGTTTAGTAGGGTAGAAGGGTTCAGGGTTTATAAGTTATCAGGGTTTAGAGGTTTAGGGGATTAGGGTAGAACGCTTCAGGGTTTAGGGGCTGAGGGGCCTAGGGTTTCTTCGCGGAATTCCAATGGTCAGTCTTTGAAAACAGCACCTTCCGAAAGCTCTGGGGGTCTAGGGCTTACGGCCGTGACATGAGGGTCCTGGGGTCAGCCGTTTTCTACTTGACTGCCTAGACGAACAGTACCAATACTGCGAAACAGATACTACGGCAGAATACGGCAACAGAAGTAATGGTAGCAAGGATAATGAAAAGAAGACCAGCAAGAACCACAAGATGACCAACCAAGCGCAAGAGAAAACAAACCAAGTAGCACAACGGCAGAAAGGAGCGGCAACAATGGCAGCAGCTGCTGCGGCAGCAGCGACAGAAAGCATAACAATAGCAAGTCCGACAGCGACAGCACCGACAGCCACAAAACAAGCCGTCATCGTCATGGCGGTTAGGATCAAGGGACTAATCGCGGAACAAATCACAACCACCACCACCACTACCACCACCACCGCCACGACCGCTAGAACCACTGCCAATGCAGATCACGGAGATGATCGTTCGAAGGATATTAATAACAAGCATCTTCGCAGTAAGACGCAGAGATTTGTAGAAGCCTCTACGTAGCAATTGGGCATCCGAGTTCGGACGGAAGAAACCTCAGGAGAAGACCTACTGCCACCAGCAGCACTTGTGCTCGATGTGCTCCCGACTCTACCTCAGCTGCGGACATGAGGGCATCTACTTCCGATGAGTGCCCCGGGCAGCCATGGGTAGAAGCTGAGCCAAGAACAGAGATGCAGCATGAAGCACCCACTGGACCTCATCAGGTCTAGCATCAGGCTCGGAAGGTGAGAGATTCCCAAAGGAGAGCTGGAGAGCAAGCCGTTGCATCCGGCGGAAAGGCCCTGATTTGAGGTCCTTCACGTAAGCTGGGGTTCTGACCAACGTAGCCATGGCTTTGGATTGCAAACTCAGTCATTCTGCTGAGGCCACTACGGTCTGGTGCTGCGGCTGGCTAGGCTTCCAGAATGTCTGTCTGTCCGTCTGTCCGTCT